CCCCACCTGCCAGTGGCAGGGGATCCCCCAGGGTATGGGACCTCGGCACGAAAGTGAGGACAGCCTAGGCCCCCACGACGAGCGGGCCACCCTCGCTGATGAACTCGGGAACTGCGGGTGCCTGAGTTCTAAGGGAGGCTGGGACGAGGTGGAGGACACACAGGCTCCTCCAGGCCGACCCCACAGGCCACACGTGGCACCAGGATGCTCGTCATCACGTCCTCGGCCCCAACTCTGGGAGGACACTCGCAGCAGGACGCGAGGAAGGTCGGGAGAGACAGGAATGGTCTTGAGGGCCGCAACCTCCACGACAGAGCGTGCGAACAGTCCCCTAGAGCGCGAGGAGCCCCTGAGACCATGGCCCAGTGCAAAACGGGCAGAGACGCCCATGGGCTGAGCTGACCTGGGACTCAGTGCAAGTCCTCTAGTCTTCAAAAGCAACCCTCCGTGGACTGAAGCAATGCAGCCAGGCTGCGGTGGCCTCCCGGGCCCCTCAACACAGCAGGTGTGTGCATGCCTGTGATGCGGGCTGGCAGAGGGCGGATCCCGCGGAGGGCTCGCCGGGGTGCCCGGCTCCCTGCTGCCCTCGCTCTGTCTCTCATGACAGAAATAAATGCGTAAACCTTAAACATAGGACAAAAACCAGGCTCTGGTCATTGGTAAAGCCTCTCTCCTACAGAACACCAAGAGCCAGTCTCTGCTGTAGCAGCTACAGTGCACCTGAGGACGGTAGGCCGAGGTGAGGCCGAGACAAGACCAGCCGACCACCCCTGTGGGACGCAGAGGACGGCAGCTCTCACCCCCAGGGCTGCGCGTTGTGCTTCCCTGACCTGATCACAGGCTGACCATGGGTGACGCAGCAGCTGTACCACAGGAAAGTGCCCTCTGCCCCCCAGCCGCCCTCCTCTGCTGCAGCCTTTCCCCAGGAGCCCAGAAGTCACTGGAGCCGGGCGGGCACCCACACCTGCCGAAGTCGGCAGACCGTGAGCGGCGCTCCCCCCACCTCGGGGATCCTCCAACGAGCTGTGCCCTGGGCTGAGCGCGAGGGCCACCAAGCCCTACTCACCCACCCCTCACAGACTCGTCACAAAGCCACTAGCACCCACCAGCCTCTGCTGCAGACAGCCAGTGGCAAGCAGTCCACCACTCCCAAGAGTTCCTGCTCCATGGCCGGAGCCCCTCCAGGCTGACGCCCCACCTGCCGGACAATGTCACCAGGCAGGTCATGCCACTGAGCAGCAGAGGTGCCAGGGAGTGGGGCCAGAGCCCTGCCAGCCCTTGCGCTGCCCCATAAGCCGCAGCATCCTCTGGCCTGGCGAGGTGAGCTGGCCCCCACCTGCCAGGAAACCTGGAAAGCCTATTAAGGAGCTTAGTTCAGTGTAGACACACACCAGAGTGAGCTTAGCAGAGAATTCTGTGGCTTGTTCCAGGGAGACCTGAAGACGTTTATGAACTGACAAGTCCATTCCGGTGCAGAGACAGACGACTCCACGTACAGCTCTGTGGCACCAGGCTCTGTCTGCAACCCTCTGCAGGCCTTTGTGCCCCGCCAGGGCTTTCCCCGGGCACTTCACTCCTGGGGCTGCGGCCCCTGGCAGCACCATGGAGTACCTCCTCCATCGGCACTGACCCGACACATCGGAGGCAGGCCTGGCGAAGGGCAGGTCAAGAGGGCTACTGTCCTCTCTGGACACCCTAGGACCTGGAGCTGAGTGGAGCTTAAGGAGGGAGGACGCAGTTTCCGGAAGACAGTGGAAGGGGCCCCCGGCAGACAGGGTCGCTACCGTGCCCAGCGTGAGTGCAGGCGGCTGCAGCCACGTCACCGAACCTTGTCCAGGGGTTCCAATTCAGACTTAAAACAAGGTATATAGCAAAAAGAAGTTGGGGGGGCCAGTATAGTTTTCAATCTTTTGTATTGCTAACCTAAAACTTTTTTTAAAGAGAGGTTTTTGCTATAGGGTGCGTGTGCTCGCTTGAAAGACAGAGAAAAAGACAGAAAGCGAGAAATCACCCCCCAGGGGGGATGGTCATGCCGTAATCCCTTCTCCTCCACTCTCCTCTCGGGATCTTGGGCACACACGCACACACTCCCGGCGTGAGTTTAAGCCGCCGGGTCCGTGACTCGAACCGTGGTTGACTATGTGGGAGTCCAGTGACATAACCATTAAGCCAACTGCTGGTCCTGCGAACCTAAAACTTTTCTAAAGCCATGGCTCCCAACGCCATCACTGCACCGAGGTTAGATAGTCCCTATGAACAGAGAGACTTACACCCCGCAAGCCGAGCCACACGAGTGAAAGCCACACTCCTCTTAACTTTCTCCGTAGACCACGGGGTGGTAAGAGCCACACCCAGACCTGACTCAGGAGGCACTCCCGCATTCCACACCAGCACAGTAGCTGTCAGAGGCAAGTGCTGTGTGGCCGTGGCAGCGCGCCCTCCCGGGGTGTGTGGACTCTCACCACGGCAGCACTAATACTCCGCTGCCAAAGCACTGGAGCGATGCCACACACCCCAACGTTCTTACCACGGGGAGCCTCACATGGTGGTGGCAACAACAGCGACAGCCGCCCTAAAGCCAGCCACCCGGCAGCACTGAGCCGAGCACAGGCTCCGAATGGCTGGGAGACGGCAGTGTGGGGTCCTGACCTGGACCTGCTCTGGGGTAGGCGTGACTGTGCTGGGGTACAGGCAGGTGGCCTGAGGGGCCCTTCCACTCCAGCGTCCACTCAATGGACTCTCGGGGTCCATTACGTTCAGGCACTAGGCTAGACATTGGGAACACAAAGCGCCATCTCAAGGAGTTCCAGGAGCGGGGGCGTCGGCGATGACGCGTGGAACAGTCATTTTCCCGCTTTACTAAGAGACAAGGGTCACTTTCAGCTGAGCCCCGTCAAGGCCCAACGTGCACGTGGTGCCTGCAGACACAGCAGCTTTGTGCACCACGCCATCTGTGGATGGGGTCGTAGTTCGGACTCGGGGCAGTGCAGAGGACAATGCGCACCCCTCCCCCGAGCCCTGTGCTTCCCCCAGACTTCTGGGTGGGCCGGGACCCAGGACTGTGTCACTCGGTCGCACACGCACTCTTAGTAAGGGCCTACACCTTGGTTACTCTCCCCAACCTCACGTTCCAAGAGCAGAGCACAGGCTGTGGAAGAACAGGGGTCCCCACAGAGCTCAGAGGTGACAGCAGAGCCCACGGGGCACAGACCACAGTGGGCAGCCGGAACACACCCAGGAAAAACATGGTCAAGCCAGGACAGGAAGAGAAACAGCAGGGGCAGGAGGGGCAGAAGATACCACAAGGCGGGGCTGGCCAACTGCCCATGGGCTGAGCCGGGTGCAGACAGGGCCACTGTTGTGCACATGCCGGGGTGCGCAGTGACACAGGAGTCAAAGCAAGAAAGCCCAGCTGGCCAGAGCTCCTTGCCGGCCAGCTACAAGGCTCAGACTTGGCTGATGGGTCTAGGACAAGCAGACCATGTAAATTCCGGAACTGGGTTTAAAATCTTGCACAGGGGGGACCAGCAGGTGGCATGGTGGTTAAAGCGCTGGATGCTTCCACATGGCCAACCATGGTTCGAGTCCTGAACCTGGTGGCTTGCTTTCTCACTTTCCTCTCTCTCTCTGGTCAAATTAAAATAAATTAATGAATAAATAAAATTAAATAAATTTTTAAAAAATAAAAAATAAAATAAAATCTTGCACAGGAAACTGACTTTTCACTAGAAAGACAAGTTTGTAGTAATTTTATAGAAGAAGTAACCTTTCAAACAGTAAGTTCTTCGAGCTTGTCTATGATTGGTAACCTGTTGCATAAACGTATCTTAAATTTAAAAGCTAATTTGAAAAAGCTAAGCAGCAGCATTTGTAGCTAAGGCCATGTTCTTTATTAGGGTCAAACCAAAGGCTAAAATCAGGACATCCTAAATAGAGAGAGTCCACTCTCAGCTCCCTGGCACTGTCTGAGCATTTCCATCCCTGCCCTTCAGAGGCCTGGACACCTGAGGCTGGAACAGGCAGTAAGGTTCCGGAACACCTCTGTGCTCACTCCAGGGAAAAGCACCGGGCCCTGACTGAAATAGTGTGGGTGAAAAGCAGTAATGAAATCAAGGGGAAACATTACGATACTCCCGAAAGTTTTTTTTTAACTTTGAAAAGCCATGTGGAACTCTTGCACAGGAAACTGTGACTTTTCACTAGAAAGACAAGTTTGTAGTAATTTTATAGAAGAAGTAACCTTTCAAACAGTAAGTTCTTCGAGCTTGTCTATGATTGGTAACCTGTTGCATAAACGTATCTTAAATTTAAAAGCTAATTTGAAAAAGCTAAGCAGCAGCATTTGTAGCTAAGGCCATGTTCTTTATTAGGGTCAAACCAAAGGCTAAAATCAGGACATCCTAAATAGAGAGAGTCCACTCTCAGCTCCCTGGCACTGTCTGAGCATTTCCATCCCTGCCCTTCAGAGGCCTGGACACCTGAGGCTGGAACAGGCAGTAAGGTTCCGGAACACCTCTGTGCTCACTCCAGGGAAAAGCACCGGGCCCTGACTGAAATAGTGTGGGTGAAAAGCAGTAATGAAATCAAGGGGAAACATTACGATACTCCCGAAAGTTTTTTTTTAACTTTGAAAAGCCATGTGGAACTAATGTGGTCAAGAATGTCCAGTTTCTGTACTGTTCAGCCACCACCTATGAGCTGCTTGCTACTTTCCTGGATGCGGCTGAAGGAGTAACTGAGGTTTGTAAATGTGGACATACAGAGCTGGTGCTGTAGTATATTTCAGGCCTAACACAGGTTTCCCCGAGGGTCTGGCTCCCTCGCCCATAACGTGAAGCGACTGTCTCTTTATAGTCCTGGCACCCTCGCGACAGGACTCATGCTGGTCACATCCATTCTGTGCCCTTAACGCTAAACGCCCACCTACCACAACCCTACCTCTTTCTCGAATGTCCTCTAAGATAAATTTTATTCTTAGACAGTGATTCTCAACCAGGAGGGGATTTTGTTCCCCAGAGGTGGGGGGAAAAGAGAAAAAGGAACAAGGTTTAGCGATGCCTGAACACATTTTGTTTGAGGCACTCGCGAGGCCAACACCAGGTGGCCAGGACACAAGCACAGCCCGGGTCTGATGGGTGAGTCCAGAAAACCGGCAGACCCAGGCCCTCTGTGCTGGGAGAGCCTGCCAGAACTGGAGATCGGCAGTTGCCCGTCGGTCATTACAACATCAGTCAGAGACAAGCCTGGGGGCGGAGGACTCTGCTACTCCAGGGACGAACACACCTTCCTGCTTTCAGCCTTTAGAAGACAGAAAGAAACAGGCCCCTGTCCGTGGCTTTAAACTTTCAAAGCTAAGCTCCCATCAGTGGTTATTTCTTGGCTTTGTAGCTCCCTCAGGGCTCCTCTCTTTCCTCCTTCACTACATTTTTTACCTGGAGGGACAGAAGTTAACCACAGGACTCGCCTCCATGGAATAGCCTCAGGCCAAAACACGTCACCGAAGCTTACCTGGCAAAAGTACTGGCTCCAGCTTCTTCGGTTTGGAGTCCATCTTACCATTGGCCTGAAATACAGCAGAGGTGAGCCCAACTGCAAGCACCCCGGGAAGGTCCAGCACTGCTCTTCACAGCCATGCGTCCCCACCCAACGGCCACGCCTTCACCCAGCTCCCTGGGACGCCTGCTCACGGCTGCCTGGAGGCCTGGCCTCAAGATCAGAACAAGGCAGGAGTGTCAGGTGTCCCCCCAGGTGTCCCTCTCGCCCCCTCAGGTGTCCCATGCGCCCCCTCAGGTGTTCCATTC